AAAAAAAAAAGGTTGAGAAGGGAGAGGGTTGACATGTTGTGGGGTTGTTAACCAATGTCATAAAACAATAAGTGTACTACTGATTCATGAGAAACTATTTGTTCTGTAAGCCTTCACCTGAAGTACAATAAAAAAAAAAAAAAAAGATTACAGTTAAGAAAACCCTATGGAGCACAGCTCTTCTGTAACACATCGGGTTGCCATGAGTAGAAAAAACTCAACAGCAACTGTTTTTTGTTTTTTTGGTCCTTAATGGACGTTTTAAACTTATCCTATAGCTATTTATGTCTAGTTTGATTAAATCATGATTAGAAACTGTGGTCTACATATTAATTCTCTTAACTATTTTGAGGCTTGTTTTACGGCCTAGCATTTGTTTAATTCTACATGTGCTTGAAGCCAATCTATATTCTCTATACTTTCAGTAGGTAGATGTTGTTAATTATTTTCTTCAAATTTTTTTGCCCTTACTTGTGGTTTATCTGCCTGATATATTAATGACTCAGGGGAGAGTTTTACCAAGCAGCACTGAAAGCCACAGACTTCCTCACTGGGGCAAGTCCCATCCACCACAAAGCGGAGAGCAGAGCAGAACACACAGACTCAGCAGAATGGCTAAGAGTAGCAGAAGAGGCTAGGTTATTCATGCCTACTTCCTCCTTCCAAACTCACCAATCAGATTAGATCAGAGGTTTTCAAACTTTTGTTTGCTTCTGAATTATCTTGAGGGCTTGTTAAAACACAGATGGCTAGGTCCAACCCTCAACGTTTCTAATATAGTAGGTCTGGGATATGCATTCTCATTAAAAACAAAACAAAACAAAACTTTATAAGTAAGATTTCCCTGAGGCAATTCCAAGTGATTTTGTAAGACTTATTTATTCCACAGGATCTCTGGTGACCCAGCGGTTAAGAGCTTGGCTGCTAACCAAAAGATCAGCCATTCAAGTCTTTGAAATCCACCAGTTGCTCCTTGGAAACCCTATGGGACAGTTCTTCTCTGTCCTATCGGGTCACTATGGTCAGAATCTACTTGACAGCAACAGGTTTTCTTTTTTTTTAATTCCACAAGTAATCCATGACCCCGTATTTGGGGAAATCTCAAAAAGCCTTGTTCACTAACTGAGTCAAAGAACTGAAGAAATTATCCTCAAAATATTGGCATGATTTTTGCAACTTTATGATTGTGGAAGACAACATACTTTCCCAAAAATGACTTTGCAGATTCATATAAACAAATCTTGGCTCATATAAATCATGTTTAAAAGGATTTTCTCTTTCTAGCCCACATTTAAGTGAAAGGTCATTCAGGAGAAAGGTAATTTAAATGAAAGGTTATATGGTCATTATGTAGCCTGCTTCCTGGATTTCACATAAACTGTGAAAAATCTGTAATTGACAGGAATGGTAGTGAGGATGAAGACTCAGCCAGCAGGATCAAATCATCTTTTGTTCTCAAAATGTTATCCTTCTTCTCTCTTGCCCAATAAGTTAAAAAAATTTGGACTGAGTTCAGTCTTTTTACTTACTAGCTGATTTTGGGAAGACATTTGCCCATTTCTCAACCGTCGGAGATTTAATGAGAAATTGGACTGTCTTAGTCATCTAGTGCTGGTATAACAGAAATACCACAAGTGGATGGCTTTAACAAAGAGAAATTTGTTTTCACACAGTCTAGTAGGCTAAAAGTCCAAATTCAGGGCTTCAGCTCCAGGGGAAGTCTTCTCTCTCTGTCAGCTCTGGAGGAAAGTCCTTCTTGTCAATCTTCCCCTGGACTAGGAGCTCCTCTGCACAGGAACCCCAGATCCAAAGGACATGCTCTACTCCCAGCATTGCTTTCTGGTGGTATGAGGTCCCCACCTCTGCTTGCTTCCCTTTCCTTTTATCTCTTGTAAGACAAAAGGTGATGCAGACTGCACACCAGGGAAACTCCCTTTACATTGGATCAGGGATGTGACCTTAGTAAGGGTGTTACAATCCCACCCTAAGCCTCTTTAACATAAAATTACAATCACAGAATGGAGGACAACCACACAGTACTGGGAATCATGGCCCAGCCAAATTGATACACACATTTTGGGGGGAACATAATTCAGTCCATGACATGGACATAAAATATTCAACTGTAAAGTAGTATGTTTATGCAATGGATCATGGAATGGTTTTGTGAGGTATGGAGCCTGGTCCTACTTCTGGAAATGAAAGTAGAGAGCGAAGGCAGCTGCAAGATGGCAGGAGGCCTAGAGCAGGAAAGTTGACCAGAGCAGCCTTGTAAAACCCTGTGGCAGGCGATGTTCTCTACAGGTATGTGAGTTACCTTATGGGAAATATAGGTCAACAGAGAAAGTCTATGACTCATTGAATGCAAATTTTCACCCACTTCTGCAGGTTGGTGCTCTTGCCAAAAAAAAAAAAAATGCCACAGGCTTTTTGCTTCAGGAAAACAATGGAGCTTAAAGTCAAATGGTATAGTGGAAAGGATTCAGTTTAGGAGTTAGAAAACCATGGTGCTATTACATTCCCTGCCTGCTTCTAACTTGTCGTGTAACCTTAGTTGCAAATGGTGTTTACTCAAAGAAAGTCTTCAAAAATTATGTGTTGACTTAACCTGAGACTTGAACCTAGTCTAATTGTCTTACCATTATTTCCCATCGCCTTAGCCATTTCTCACCACAAAAGAAAAATCACTTTTGACTTGGGAAGGGAAAGAATCAAAGGTTGGGTTTCTGATAATGTTGTTTTTTCTCCCCACAAGACAATCTTCCCGGTTTAGTAATATTAAAATGTGTTTGCCTTTATTTAGGACGCATCAAATGTCAGAACAGACAATGTAGTCCAGATCTGGTCTAAATTATCAGGGAAAATGTAACTGCAGCTACGTTGTCATGGGAAAACCTCAAAATGGACAAACCATTGGGGATTTCAGAACATTCTGTGATCCTAGTCAGGATGACTAAGTTGGGAAGGAAGTCAGTGCTACTCTGTTTCACCCCACACACATTTCCCTCCCAATAAAATAACTTAAAATGAATACTAAGCCATTTTTGCTTAGAAATAAAGTCTTTGAACATTATTATTCAAAAACAGGAAGCCCCAAACCTTACTATAACAACAAACAACAAAACGCTATCCAGAAGAGATATTTTTCAAATGAGTTTTCTTTTTGTATTTTCAGTAGACTTGTGGCCATGTTAGCCTGAGACAAGGATTGTCCTTGATTAGATGCTATGGTTCCGTGACTGGTTTGAAGAGACGCTGCAGAGAAGAAGAAACTGGGTACCTAGGTTATTAGGATTCCAAAGTCTGAGGCTTGGGGAAAATGTCAGAATAAACTTCTGTGAGACTTACATTTGTTTTTCCCATTTTCTCCTTGCCAAGCCATGCAGTCCCTTCACCTCTTGCCATGACCTCACATCGCTGTAGATGTGTATGAGTGTATGTCTGTGTGTGTGAGAGAGAGAGAGAGAGAGAGATTATTCCTCAAAATGAAACTGTAATCTCTTTGAGAACAGAAATGATTCCTACTTTTTACATCTCCTCTTGGTTCCTAGAACTAGTTTTGCACTCTAAGTATTCCATAAATAGTGCTTCCTGGTTGGGTAACTTATATTTCAAATTCAAATGTCAGGATATATTTCTATAACTCACTTAGACCATCAGCACACTCAGCACCCTCATCACCAATCTCTTGCTCTTTCCTATTAGAAAATAAATTCTCAGCTCCCACTTTAAACATCCTTGTATTGCAGGATCACCCAAGAATACTCAACTCCACTCTTACGAGTCCTCTTCCAACTGATCACCAATTCACGTATGAACATTTACTCAAGCAAGTCTTTTCTTTTTTCTTTTTTGCCAACCTCATTTATTACTTTCTTCTCAATCTTTCTATAGTTATTCTATCTTGACCACAGCTCCCACAGCCACTTCTATTCTTTCCAAATCTTTCAATATAGTTCTATCTTTCTTTAAGTTCTAAGTCTATCTAAAAATTTTTACTCACACTCTTATTTTTTTGTTTTGTTATTTTTTTCATTTATATGGCCTTTCTGCCATTTAGACAGGCATGGGTTCAGAGACAGTATTTCTCCTCCCTGTGCATTGCCTACTTTGTCCAAATCCAAGGCTCTGATCATTTTATTTGACATTTGCAGTACATTCGAGAAACTACTTAATTAACATTCTGTTGTATTTGATTAGTTCATTGACTAATGAATTGATTTTTTAAATTCTTAAGTAGATAGTCTCTGACCCTACAGATCCTCAGGGTCCCTTTAACACGGCTCTAATCCTCTGAGTGACTCTCCTCAAAGCCTCTTTCACTCCCTTGTTACAAAGGTTATAAATCATAGGGTTGAGGAAGGGGGTAAAAAGAGCATACACCAAGGCAATAAATTTGTCCATGCCCTTAGCCCGAATCCCAGGTGGCCCCACATAGACAATGAAGGCAGAGCCAAAGAAAAGGGTCACTACAGTCATATGAGAGGAGCAGGTGGAGAAGGCCTTGGCACGACTGGTAGCTGAGGGCAGCTTCAACACAGCTCTCAGGATGCCCCCATAGAGTCCCAAAATGAGTACAATGTTGCACGCATTGATCAGTCCAATCACCACAATGTGGACCCAAGAATGCCAGCCTATGTCCACACATGCCAATTGCATTAACAGTGCCAGGTCACAAAAGTAATGAGCCACTTCCTTCAAGCAGAAGGGAAGAGTAGCTGTGAGACTGGCAGGAACAAGAGCTGCTGAGAAGCCAGCCGCCAGAGTGGCCCCTGCTAGCCATAACTGTACCTGTCTGCTCATGAGGGTATGGTAGTGGAGTGGGTGACAGATATCAAGGTAGCGGTCCAGCGCCATGACAGTCAACAGGTAGCACTCAGTCATGCCCAATGAGTGGAAGACATAAAACTGGATGAAACACAAAGTAGATGAGATGGGTGAATGCCCATGGAGCAAGGTATGCAGCAGTGTGGACACCATGGTGCTGACGTACCAGAATTCCAAGAAGGAGAGGACGCTGATGAAGAAGTACATGGGTGTGGACAGTCCAGAATCAGCTTGAACCAGGACGATAATAAACCGGTTCCCTGTTAGGGTGAGGAGATAGATGCACAGAGTCCCCAAGAAGGCAAGAGATCGCAGAGTCCCAGTAGTAGTGAAACCAGCAAGAATGAAATTTTGGGTCCAAGTGTGGTTGGCATGATCGATCATTCCTAGGAACAAGAGGTGAAGACAGAAGATTAACTACTTCAGGCTTCTTTTTCACTTGAGAAATTTCCCAAAAGAAAAGGCATAGAACACACAAGCTTGAAAGGATCTTACACATTATCAAATCAACTCCCCTCACTTTGTAAAAAAGGAACTGAAAACCAGAAGGGAGAAGTCATTTGCTCTATATCACAATCTGTTGCTGAGAAAATTGGAGTGGACTCCAGGTTCCCTGATTTGCAAGCCAGCACTTTTGTTATTGTACAGAAGTGGCAACAGAGTTACAGGCCCTGGTATTTTCTCCTACATACTCCACCAGGAAACAAGAGAGAGAGAAAAATTCCCAAACTCATCTCTTCTACAGCCCCTAATAAAATGTCCCACGATTATTTAAAACATCCACTCTGTATCCAACAATCAGCTGTACTGAGCTGTGGAGAAAAGAAACATATTTTCTAAGAATTTACCCCTGAGGCTCTTTCAGGGGCCTTCTTTGGAGTTCACGGGTGTTCTCAGGAAGGTCTAAAAGAGGAAGAGAGGGGAAAAGAAAAAATGTGGCTCCTCTGTTTACCCCCTCAATGCTCAGAACCGCAGAGCCAGAAGAGGAATTAGTGAGTAAACAGTGGGAATCTTAAGGAAAGGTTCTCAAAGGAGACATGCACCAGGAATTCCCGGAGGGGAAAATTGATAAGGTCAGGCCCCCATGGTGTTGGTCTAGAAGCCCTGTAGTATAAGAGAAGGATCATCCTTTTTAGGAACTGGCTTGATAAACTTGCTGTGTCACTAACTCTCAATGGACATTGGGCTGGGCCATTTCTCCTCTCTTTACTTTAAATCCCTCTTTTCTAAAAGAAGAGATTTAAGTAGATGTTTTATGCCCTTTAAAGTCCTAGTAGTCTATGGTACTCGAAAGTCACCAAAAAATATTTGTCGGGTAGGAGTGGGGGTGGGTGCTCAACACCAGTGTCCCAAGAGTTTTTCTCCCACATTCTAATAGGCCTCACACAGGAAAGGATCAAAGCCCTCTTCTAGCTCTCTTCTTCAACTACTCTCATTTCTGCTTCACCATCCCTGCCTATTACCTGACTGTTTTGATGATATTAAGACTTGCAGCTTTCTGCTCGGAGTTCTTTCTACCACCAAGACACTACCCGACTTATATTTCATACTCCTGGAAATGCTAGCCTTCCAGGCCTCCGTACTGTCTATTCCTTGGGGCTGCCTGGTGTAACTAGGTCTCAATAGGGGGTCCTCTGGGGCACAAAGTTAAGCACTGGCAAGTGAAGCAGATCATCACTATTTCTCAAATGCCTTTTCTCAGCTCTACAACCCTCATTGTTGGGCTCTGGAAGCCAATCCTAGAGATGTTTCTCCCTTTGGATCAATAGAGCTTTTGCAAGTCCCACATAGTTTTCCATGGTGAGAGAAGATCCATCTTACATGCCCTCGTGCATTAATGGAGAATAACACCTTCAGCACCCCAGCAGTGAGTCTCATCTTAAAAATTCTCCTTGCAAGGAGATTTCTCATTCAGCTTCTCACTCTGATCACTGCTAACCTCACCACTGTATGAGCACAATGAATACAGCACTACCAACACTTATGTCTGTGCTAAGCATCTCCATCACCATTACTGCCACCACCACCTCTACTTTCACCACGTCCATGATCATTTATCCATTGATTCAATCACTGTTTATTGAATAAGTTTTTCTTCCATGGAGCCCTGGTGGCATAGTGGTTAAGAGCTTAGCTGCTAAACAAAAGGTCGGCAGTTCAAATCCACCAGCTGCTCCTTGGAAACCCTATGGGGCAGTTCTACTCTGTCCTATAGCGTTCTGTGGGGTTGCTATAAGTTGGAATCAACTTGATGGTAATGGAATTTTTTTTTCTTCTTCCATGGATTCAGTGGGTGGGTTCTAATCACCAACCCTTAGGTTAGCAGCTGATATCAAACCACTTGTGCCACCCAGGCTCCTATTACATGTAGTACATTGTTCTAAGCTTCCACTATCATTACTTATACCATCACCACCATTTCTTCTACCCAGGGTATCCCTATGATGCACATACACTTTTTCAGGATGACTTTCATTTCTGTCTGTATCTTTAATATCTTCATCAAAATCCTGAAATTATTATTTGGGCTCTGACCTCAGCTGAGCACTGTGGGCATGCACTTAAATGGATATGGAGTCCAGGTAAATTATAGAATAAAAATATTTATCTATTTGATGTAAGCATTGTAATCATTCATAGATCCAAATGTACTTTTATTTTTCAGAATAAGAGATGGGGACAAATTCAGATAAGGATGCTTCATTAAAGATTAGCAAATAAATCATATTGAATGGAAGGCAATCACTGAATCTTCTGCAAACTAGAAAAGCTTACTGTGGGAGTTGGAGATTTTTGAGCAAAAGGAAAGGAAGTATTGGTTCTGTAAGTGCTAACATACCCTCAGGATTCAAAGAGTCTCTTTGAGTAAAACAAACAAACAAATAAAACTTGAGTGTTTGGATAATTACTTTAATTCAATCTTAACCACCTTGAACCTATATCCTACTTCATCTGAAATATCTGACTTTTTCCAGGATGGATAGTTGCAACTATTCTTTCACTAAATCACTGCATACTACATAGTCCTAAATACCCAAACACTCCTCATTTGCAGCCTTATTTTATGGACCTATATAGATTAGTCAACTATTTAGATTATTCAAATGGATATTTTTGCTGTACCCAAAGTAGCCATTTAAATATTTACTTTATTTCTCCATAGATTCACATAACATTGGTATTTATACATTCCTTTTCTATAATTCAGACTCTGAGAGAGACTTCCTTCACCTTTGTAGTGTCCACTTGTATAGCAATGACTTGGCATTAACAGAGTAGATTATAAGGACGATGTGCTATCCCTCAGAAGACTCTCAATGTCACATAAATACCTGAGCATAGGACTCATACAGACTATCTAGAATCAGTTAGTGTAGAAATATATACTAAAGGATTTGCATTCTATATGGATGAGGAGTAAAGGACTTTGGCTTAAAAGTAGCAAGAAGAAGAAGGGTAAAAGTTGGAGGGTTCCAAGTATATGACTTGCCTAGCCCAGAAGGCTGATTTTTCTCTTCTCATGTCATCAATTGTTAGAAGAAAGTGCTTACTTAGCAATTTTTCACTCCAGGAATGGGAGTGAGAGAAAAGAACAAGACCTAATATGCCAACACATAACTCATGATTTAGGGAGAAAGACAATGTCTAAAAATATTTATATTAAAAACTTAAGCCTTCATCTTAAGTGAGAATAACAGCACAATTAGAAGAGCGTAGTCAACGTCACTTAAATGTGTATGTAAAAAAAATTTTTGAAATGGCGTATCTTTGGCTATGTGTATTTTC